TTGTTTGTAGAGATGCTTTCAACACGATCCATGAGAAAAACATCTTAGGTGTGGTAGGCTGCTACTTGGAAGTTATTGTCGTCGTTTCCCACAGTGAGGTGAATTTTGAAAATGGTAACATGGATAACTGAAGTTTAGGAGAAAGTGTACAGCTAAGCAATGGGAGACTTTTACCCACAATCTACACTATACGTACCATAACCACTCAGCTGTTAGGTTGCCCAGTTAGTTGTTCTTCCAACTTGCAGAAATTGCCTTCAAATAGGACACCAAGGATGATTTGGCGCTTTTATACCTTGTCTGATCAATATTTGTATAATTCTGACATATCATAGCATCATTTTTTAGCAACATGAGTTGGCCGGTTTATCTCTTCGGTTCGGACTAAAATATGTCAACAGCCATTGAATGAATTGCTTTGAAGTTTTGTACAGACATTCATGGGCCCCAGAGGATTAATCCCTTTTCTACAGCACCACCATAAGGGTTTACTTGCCCATCTTGTGAAATGTCTCCATGACTTCAGTATGGATTGGCCATGAAATTTAGCATTCGACATTCTCGGTCCGCTACAGATGAATTGAAACAGCTTTGGTGATCATTGTACCACTGTCACTCCAGTTACAGCGTAAACAAGAGAGAACTGCCTCACACAGCGTTTCCTGATACCAAGCTTCTATTTTAGGCACCATTTGTATTCCTGGCAGTCTTGCTGTTGGCGTACTTGCAGTGTATACAGTCCACATGGTCACAAATTTTGGCCTTCGCACAGACATCCACCGAGCTGTCCACCGGAACCCTCGCGGACGCTAGCAGATGACGACATTTTACCTCCCGTGGACCCCCACTGACCTTTGTAAACCCGTGGACGCAGAAATGATAAATAAACCTCGATACTTACAGGGTGACTGCATTATGAAGAGAAAGATGCACCCTGCCAGTTCACCTAACCCACCTCTTCCTGCTAACTCAGGTAGCAGGTAGCAGGGGTAACATTAGCTTAGCAATGGGGAAAAAAAAAATAGAACAACCAGAGCAATGCCTTCCTGATTTATGTACTGAAAATGGATCAAACTATGGCCACAATTGTGTAGACAATCAAGATAGCAAGAATATATTGTAATTCCAGGTGTAAATGCAAAGACCCAAAAACAAGAAGTAACTATCTAGAAACGGAGCACATGTTGGCCCTGGTGTGAATGGGCCCCTGGTACGACAACAAATAAGACTTTCCGGGGTGCTGTTCTTTCTTTTCTATAGTATCTGTAGAGTGTTTCCCAGAACTGGCACTATTAGAACTGGACCAACATACCAGCTGTTAATTTAGATCAGAAGAAGCCTTGTTGAGAACTCCGTCCTCCCTCTAACTTCTAGCTTTTAACGTGAACTGCAAAATGACCCGCATGTTTTACTATGCTTTTATTGAAATTGTCTGCATTATTTGTTGGTTTGGAAAAGCTTCGGAAGCAAGTCTGTAAGAAAGACAGTAACAACAGCCAGCAAACTGTTGGGAACCGCACTACCCAGCCTAGAATGTATTTACAAAGACCAGGTTATGAACAAGGCCGATACTATTCTGGCGAGAGGCATCCACTTGCCTCCTTCTTTAAACTGTTGCCATCTGCAAGGCGTTATTGCCCTCCTTTGTTAAAGAAAAAAACAGGTCCAAACTGTCCTTTATTCCACAAGCCATCAATTAAAAAAAAATAAAAAATGGACAGGAAATAAGACCCAGCTGGTCTGGCCATAACGTGTGAAATGTGGAGATGTTGTTTAAGAGTGAAATGCCATTTGAGTGTTTTCTGCTGCAAACCAGTTTCCCTACAGAGACAAATAAACGTCTATCTATCTATTGAGGTCCATGAACTGGTATTGATCACTTTACTTGATCCCAAATTAGTTGTCTGAGTAATGCATTAAAGACACTGGATCTGCCATAAATGATCCAGTCACATGCATGTTTCCATTTCTGACCTCCTTATAGCTACATTTCTCCACTCACGGTGCGAGAATGATCTATTAGCTTGAACGCTGGGATGATAATGATGGATGGAATCTCACCATTCATCTTTTCTAAGTCATTGAACAGACTGAGTTGCAGATGTGCCTTAGTTTGGATTTGAATAATACAATCGTGTTAAAATGGGATAACTGTGAAGCTCAAGACCGAGGAGGTGACTTTCAGAAGTCTGCAGTCATGCGGAGCCTCCTCAGTGCTGCAAAGTGAAACTTAATGCGAAGATTCAGAGTATAAGGTGGCAGGTGACCGGAGTCTAAACAGCTCTTCACTGTTTTTCTACAGATGCCGAGGAGTACCAAGCAAGGAAGGAAGAGTACGCCACCTTCCAGCTTCCCTACAACCAGGAGAAGATTGACTTTGTGTTGGAGACGGCGAAAGCCAACATGAAGAACAACAAGGATAAGCTGCTGAGTGAGATGCAGAAGGCTGCTCTCCGCCGACAGAACAAGAAGTAAGGATGGGTGTGAGTGGGAGAGGGGGTGTAAAGTGAGACACAGAGAGGGAGAGATAAAGGAATCAGAGATCATCACGCATCACTGTCAATGTAGGTCAAAGCTGAATCTCACATCTCTTTGCGGCGTGTAATCTGTGAGCTCACTGTGTGTCTCTGTGTGTCTGTAAAAAAAAGAGAGTGATGGATAACAAAAGATCCAGTAACAGGATTTTATGTAATATCTGTGTGTCAGTGTGTGTGAGACTGAGTGAGAGATGTGGACCGCTGATGGATGAATAACTGACTTATCCAAAAAAAACAACTAACATGTCCTCTTTTTCTTTCCTGTTTTAGGAAGTCTGTGGTCCAGCAGAAGCTTCAGTCTTGTTTTTCTGGTTTACTGTGATTCAGCCGTGGCTTCCTTAGCCAGACGCTATCCTCGCTTTACATCATCGCACGCTATCGCAGGAACATGACTTATGCACATCATGTATTTACAGCCCGTCTGTTGACATTCTGATGTCTAATTGTTGCTTTGAATGAAAGCTTTATGTTAAACTGCCAAAGGTATATAGACACCTCTTTACTCAGGGCTTTCATGTTTTTAGAAATTAGCCTGAACAATCATTGAAATATATTAAAAAAAGGACACAAGGAGCTATGATGTGGAGATTTCTCAGACATTAGGGAGCATGATTGTTTAGTAGCAGCAAAAATCCTCATTTTTAGAATTCTTTTGAGTGGAAAAGAAAAAACCAAACACATGTTGACTACAATTGTAACTCATACTGCAATATGAGTCAAAACAATCTGCTTTTTTGAGCATCCCTGCCTAAAAATCGTGCTTCTGATTAATGTAAATCTCCATGTCCAGCAATGCAATGTGCCTATTTCACAGTGACGGTACCCAAACACCAGCTCTATACAGATGTAATTTGCCCACTTCGAGGTGGAAGAACTCGAAACCCATCGAACATGCCGGGGTTGAAATGAAACAACAGAAACAAACATTATTCCCTCGTAAACATTTTAGTAATTTCCAAGCTGCATAATCTGTTTAGCAGCAATTTATAGTCGGAAGTCATCTGCAGCTTGAGAACACAATGAAGGCTTTCCTTTAAAATGATGCTACCTCTGTATAATCAGTGTGACATTTTAGTTTGAAATCAGATTATCAGGCTAACCGGCTGTTGACGTCCGACGTGAACAAATCTGCTGAGTCATGCAAGTCCTTCACTATTCAGCACATATGAGGGTCAAGAGTATGTGTGAGATCGAGCATCAGCATCAGCCAAGTCGAGTTTTTTTGTGAATGGTAATAAGTTTGTAAATCTGTTTAAAGTTACATATTGTTCCATTAGAGAGTGAGAGAATGTGAAAGCTTGTGTCATATCAGGGTAGCAGTATATGTATCAGACTTAAAATGCATTTAACCTGCAAAAATACTATCAGAAAAGAGACAGCCTCCGTTTTTTTTTTTTGGCCAGCGCTAACCTTAATCCTTGCTATTTTTGGTTCATGCACTGTGCAGCAGTGCAAACTGCAAAAGAGCTGCAGAAAGTGGAAAGTACATCAGTAGATCCATCCCATCATACCTCTGAAGCAACTAAACCAATGACAATGAGGCATGATAACAACAGTGCAACGACAAGAAAAAAAAAGAAGAATCTGCCTCTCCAGGCACTTCTGCTGTAGTCTGTTGAAGCAGTTTATCTGATTACATCAGTCCGACGCCGGCTCAGTCGCCGTCCTCTGTTGTTTTATGCTGTAAATGGTTGCATCATGTGTGACAGCATAATCTTTTTGTTTGCATTGCAGCTCAAGAATAAAACATGAAACTTTTTTTTTGTTGTTGTTGTTGTTGAAAATGAGGCAGTGATGAAGCCGGTTTATCCTGTCCTGTTGCTTTCAGATGGCTGCAGGGATTTAATGAACTTATGAAGAAGCTTTTCGTTCAGAACAAAACAGCTGCGAGCAAGAGATACTGTAGGCATCAGTCACTTACAGCACAGACAAATGCACACTCATATACAGACATTTTCCCTTGAACCACATTAAACATACATATTCGAAACCCGTTTAAATGCATTAACTGACCAGAAATAGTTTGTTTATGTTTTTTAAAAAAAAGAAATCTATTCTTGTGGCGCACATCAGATAGAAGATGCAACAGGAGCAGGTATGCGTCTGAGATCTCTGTTCTCAAAGTCCACCATTTTCCACCACAGCAGCTGGCTTTGTGCAGCCTCATTGGAATGAACCTCACACCTGTGAACCGTGTGTTGTGTGCTGCACATCAAACTATGCAAGCGTGACTCCTACAAACGATGGTCCCACACAACTAAACTGTAACAGCAAATGTGCTTTATGGACGAAACTAGATTTCTTTATCTTAACATAATGAGAAAACAGCAACAATTAATGTGATAATCACCTGTTTTATGGTTTCTTATGTTTCGGGAAAGTTGGCAGTCAGGTTTGATGCCAAAAGAAGCACATAGGGACTTGAAAATAACATGTTTTTCCACATGTGAACAAGCTCTTTCTTTAACCTACAACAAAGCCCAGGACCCGTATGTTTTTGTGCCTCCATACATCCCAACCACCCCAGCTTTCAATCAGAGAGGGCAAAACACAGTTTTTCAGCCTGGGTCTTTTACTTCTCATCAGCTAGGCACAATTTTGTACCTAAAATACAGGGTTGAGACATAGCACACAGAAGCAGAATATATTTCAGAGGGCTCATATTTCCCATCAGCCCTGCACATTTCAACATCCCTCTGGAAGGGCTCCTTTAAAGTAATGGAGTCAGTCAGTATGGGTATAGGCCATATAATTCCAAATGTGTTATTTCATGGATGTGATGCCTTCAGTTTTCTGCAGTACAGAAAATAGTCAAAATAAATACAGTGCCCTTATAAAGTATTAACCCCCTTTGGAAGTTTTTCCCCTTTTTATTGGTTTTCAGCATTGATTCATGGTCAATATAATTTGGCCTTTGTTTGGGAGAAGAAGATTGTACATTAAAGATTCCACGTCAAAGAGAAAGCAGATTTTAAATAACTAAAAAAAAAGTACAGTAAACAATAGCACACATTTTCAGGCTCTTCAAATCACAATTCAGTCGGTGCACCTTTGGCTGCAATTATTGCATTAAGGCTGTGTTGTGTATAGGTCTAAATCAGTCATGCACATCTGGACACAGCAATGATACCCCATTATTTTTTGCAAAACTGCTCAACCTCTGTCAGGCTGCATGGTGAGTGAACAGCATGTTTTCAAGTCCACCATCACCACATCATGATACCACCACCACCCATGCTTCACATCATGATGCTGCCACCACCATACTTAACTGTGGGGATGGTGTGTTTGTCATGATGTGCAGTGTTTGGTGTCGAGTCCTCTGGTGAGAAAGCAAAATTTTGTTTTCATCAGACCAAAGAACCCTCTTCTGTGTCTTTAGAGTCTCTTATATGCCTTCTGGTGAACCGAGCTGTGATTTGATATGAACTTTTTTCAGGTTTCTCTTTGCCAGTATCTCATAAAGCTTTGACTGGTGAAGAACAGGCAATAGTTGCTGTATGTCTCTTCCATCTCCTTTAGAGGAGTCATAAGTGTCTTGGTGGCCTCCCTCACTAGTCTCTTTCTTGCCTGGTCACTGTTTTTGAGTACAGCCTGCTTTATGCAGTATTATCCCATTTTCCTTACATTTCTTAATGACAAATTAAACTGTAGGGATAATCAGTGACCTGGAAAGTTTCTTTAACCCCTCCCCTGACTTATGCTTTTTCAGTAACCCTGATTTTTATATATATTTTTTGTCTTTATGGGGTAGTTAGAGCCAGGAGTACTGATTCACCAGTGACTGGACCTTCCAGATCCAGGTGTTTTTACACTACAGACACTTGTCACATGTACTGATCTCCATTTCACTAATTATATGACTTATAGCGCTAATTGGCTACACCTTTTTTGAACTCGGTGACTTTAAAAGGGGTGAATAGTTATGCAATCACTTATTTTACATTTATTATTTTTATTTAATACTTCACATTACTTTGCAGAAATCTGTTTTAACTTTGAATTGTAATTTTTCTCCAAAATCTTGCCAGAAAAGCCAAATTACATGGGCTGCAGAAAGGCAATGAAAGAAATAATCTCGAGAAGGTGTGAATGCTTTTCATAGGCACCGTAAATAAATGAAAACAGTAAAATCTATTAATTGAGTGGGTGTGTTCACTGTTCATACACATCCCCCACAATCCTAATATTATTTTTTTTTGCCAGGGTGTCACATTATTTCCACGCAATGTCACGACCAGTCTTTGTGGAACGCCCCTTCAGCTTTGAATTATAGATAGTAACCCAAAGCCAACGCCAGAGGCCGCACAGCCTCCACTGCAGAGAGTCACAGCGTGTTTATGTAGGTCAGTACAACCAGGCGTTCACCAAGGCCATCTGCATACAACAATCTGCAGCCACAGTTGGTTACTTTGCGACTGTGTCATTGTATTTTTGGAAACAAAAATGTGTCACTGTGATGGGTGATTTCTTTCATGTGTCTGCTTCACACAGCCAGAATGCCATTTTTTCCTCTCTCTCTCTCTCTGTTTTTGAAATGTTAGATATGAATAAAACAGTTAAATTTGATAGTGTGCATTTAGTTGATGCACAAACTCCCACTCGGTTTAACTTTCCATAACCCAAATGTGACTTTTTACGCACTTTGATTGGTTTGCAAATAATATGAACTGCAGGTTTTTCCTTGCTGATCTTGTCTTCAGTTAAACTAAAAAGCACGTTTTCCTATTTTTTTGTTGTTGTTGTTGCTCAAAAGAAACAGTTCTGACATCACATTATATCACGAATGTTGTTTCTCTCTGTCAGTCCGTGCGCTCTCGGCGCGCTTTGCGTCGTCAGTGAAGTTGCCTGATCCGCTGCAGACGAGCAGCGCGCCGCAAACATCCACCCGCTCCAAAGAGAACAAGACAAGAAGATCATGCATCATGAGCGGATTTCACAGCTGAGATTTCTTCAGGGTGGATACACTGAGAGATACATGTGAGACAAACTGTGGTAGAATAGGAAAAAGAACAAGAAAGAAGACAGAAATGTTGTGTGAGCACCAAACCGGGAAGGGAAGCAGGACGACGCTGTGAGAACGGATCTCTCTCCTGCGAGGCTTCAAACCACCTCAGCGCTCCACGGGAGGAGAGGGACGGGGATAACCGAAGAAGAGGAGGGGGGTAAAAATGCTCAAAGTTTGGCCGTGTCGTGTCCAAGTGCGACCCCGCAACAGCTGCAGAAAATGAGCATCATTTAAACGAAGGATGCATGTCGTTTGGGATATATCTCTGATTGTGCAAACATATATCATCTGCACTTCATCAGGTAAGGAGGCAAAGGGAACTCTCATCCTTGGAAACATCACAGAAATATCAGGGGGGGCAAATAAAATCTAGCTTATGGAAATGTCTCAGTAGAATTGTTGTAGAAGCTGCAGATTTATTGTGTAATTATTCTAATGACTTCCATAGTTGTCATTTGGGACGCTGATAAAAGCAGCATATTTACCTGTCAGTCAGATGAATCACTGCCTACTGGTTTGTGTGTTCTTTACAGTATTCATGAGTCAACAGGCTCTTTGCATAGAGACATACTGTAACACATCAGTCGCTGATGAGAGTGAGACCACTGAAACAGCCTGCTTCAGAACTCCCACATCAGAACACACAGCACTTTGATCACACGCAGCATATTATAGTAGTAGTATCCCACAGTACATACAGTGCGCCAGTCGTAGTCACGCTGAATCTAAATAGTTCATGAATATCACTGTCAGTGTGTCAAAGAGCTCATACGGCACCGGCCCTGTCAGTGAGGCAACCGTCCATTTAGCCAAGATTCCCACAGCGACTTCCTACTCATCGCCGCCGAAGCTGCCAACCTCAGCTCCTTAACAAAAACGTGAGAGTTTAGACTGCTGATGGTGATATTTTCATACTGATATGCAGATATGAGAAGAGAAGCACACTCTCATCTCTCGCTAACTGAGTCACCACGCTCCAATAATAAGGAGGGAATCTCTGAAACCATTAGAATTCATTAAGACAGTGCAGATACAGACAGAAAACATGCTGGAGTTGTGTGTGTTTCTCTGTTTTATTATCCAATAATGCAGCAGTTCTCTCAATCCAAAGCAATCTTCTCCTGCGGGAGACAATAAAGTAACCTTAACCTCATTCATATGCATTTTAACCTTTGCACCGACGGGATAGCTCAGTGTCAGATGTTTCAAAAAGGCTGCTGTCACTTGTGTGGCTGCGGTATCAGTCTTAAAGGGGCACTGCAGTGATTTAGGGTTTCACTTCCATCATGGTGACAAACTACGGAGCGAAACGATGAAGAAAAAAGAAGTGAAGATTGAAGCATTACAGGCTGTGACAGCTCAACGATTACCTGGAAAGTTCCAAAGAAACCGCAGCCTACGATTCCCATAATGCAACTGCACGTCAGTTTTTCATCACACCCTCCTCTCCTGGTGCACATTTTTCAATTTCCAAACACCTCATGATTCTGTTACACCCAACCAAAATGCACAGCGATGATGTCATCCACGACGCCGGATGACGTCATCAGGAGGATTTTCCCAGAAAACATATACGGCTTCACGTGGCGGCGTGCTTTGCTCCTCGCAGAGGGACTTTGGTGAAGATGGCTGACGAAGAGCAACCCTGTTTTACTTTGAGCCACTTCGCACCAAGTTTCTGACACGCCAGATGTCCAATCATTGGTGAGCCAGATTGTTGATTGGATAGGAGTTAATCAGGCATCTGACTGAACTTGAAATGACAACCAAACTGGCAGAAAATCATCCATTTGGTCTTTAAAACATGCCAAGTCAGTATCTTCCTGGCTTAACCGACAGAGCTCTAGCTAAAAAAAAAAAAAAACGTGGCTAATTGAAGCGTGCAGTACATGCTGATGTTGATGTGATAACGTCGAAGCTTTTATTTACAGTGTGTGGCGAGTGAGATAATGAAGGTATTACAACAAAATATCATCGCCTGCCAAAATCAGCAAAGGTGCTTCTCTCATGTTGGGTGTTTTCAGATCTGAGGAGTCATTATAATGTGGAGTTTATCCTCTGTCAGTGTGGAGATAAGCAGGTCAGTAGAGTTGATAAAGATAAGTAATGATAACAGGCCATTTAATGGGCTGCTAACAGGTGAAGAATGTGAGTTGTTCTTGTGATAGACTGGAAGCCTTTTGATTCAGCTCAGTGGTCAACTGCAGTCTTGTTCTTACTGGTAACATGTCTGCTTCTGAAATGGTGCAACACAAACTCCACCACACATATGTACCTGTCACTTCCCGGCGGCTCTGTTTTAATTGTGCTGCTGCTGCTGCTGCTGCTGCCAGGCAGGTTGGTGCCAACCTGAAGGGTTGGAAGGTAGCGGAGCTACAGCCCAGTTAGTGGCAGCCTGAGGCCAGAAACACACAGGAGACAAAGTGCAAAGTAAAATGGGTACCACGGGAGGCTGGAGACGCCCCGCAGGGAATCACAGCATGCATCACACATGAGCGAGTCTTCATTTGGCCCTGCGCTGAAAACTTCATCACAAGTTCATGCAGTTTTGTGGGAAATCGTCAACAGACCAATTTGGAGTAGAAACCAGCAGCAGCTGATCAAACGGAACAGTAACTTGTATTTACCACTGACATCATTGAAGTTCTTGGACTGTTTGACTTTTTAAAACATTTTCTTATTTAAAGTTTATTAACTGCTGAGGTTTGATGAGAAAAAACAACCATGTTTTCAGAGGAAGCCTCTCCAGGATGGCAGCCGTAGACACAGACTAAACCCGATACTAAAACCCAGGTGGCATGTGTAAAGGTTTAAATAAAATTAATAGACAAAACAGATGTATTGCACCAGCTGTAATCGCTAACAACGGTCTAGCTTTTAGCTTATATATGCATGCACACAAACAGAAACACATTTTATGCTTCAAGTGTTTGCAGTACATTTTATAGGAAGATCAAATTTCCCTCAAAGAGCAACCAGTAGGATGGAAACCCAAGCGAAACTGGATCTGACATGTCTACATATGTGTTACAGTAACATTCAGGGTCATTAGTCTCTCCACAAAAAAACCAGAGCTTGAAAAACGAGAGACGAGGGAGAGCAGTCCAGGTAGATCAAGTTATCAATAAGAAGCAAAGCCCCTTTACAGCAGTTTTGACACGAAAGAGATTCAAAATGTATATTAATACTCCTGTGATGGATCACAGCTTCATAATTATGAACCTGCAGGGTGTCAAAGAGACCAGGAACGGGCAATGACAAGGAGAAATAATGGCCATCAGTGAGAAATTAATTAGCGGTGTGAGGAGAAGCGGTGGGGAACAGGGCAGGTGTCTTGGTGAGTGACCGCAATGACAGCTAGCGTTGTGTTATATAAGAGTACTGCGAAGTCATATATTAGGTGATATAACCAAACTAGTATTGTCTGTTTAATACTGATGTAGTGCTCTGGACATGCAGCCTCCTGGTGTAGCTGCACTTGTGGACTAGACGTCACATGGGGCCGAGCGGACCACGAGGGTTTTTGTTGAGTAGAATCTCAACCGGCGCAGCTGTGTGCACCGAAAGAACCGCACCAGCTATCAGTCCCTCATGGTCCTGGCTTAGACATCCCACCTGAACTCCATTGTTTTTTTTTTTTCCAGAAACATAATCCTCCCGCCGGAAACGTGCGCCACAGAGGGTTGTTTTTGTACTGATGCAGCAGTAAAGTCTCTTCACCTGCACAAAACGCACCAAGGCATGAAATCCGGCTTGGTTGTTGGGTAGAAGTGTAGAGCTGATGTCCTGACATGCTTGAGTTCAGTAATTCAGCGTGATGAAAAATCGTGAAATGTATGGTAATTGGCAAGAAAGAGCAACTTTTTAAATCACCACCTTCTACCAAAAATACTCAAAAGAGCTGTGCTCAAAAGGTCTTTTTCCTCTGAAATTCTGTCTTTATGTTCACAAAAATACATAAAATCACGCACTAACCTTTCAAACAAGCCTTTCCAAGAAATATTAAGATAAAAATGTAGGAAAAAAACTCCACAGGCAGGTTGCTCTTTAATGTTAGCACACATGCTGGTTGAACTTCTCATCTGCTGCAGATGTGGTAGCAAGAAGGGTTTGTCACATGCTTTTGCTTATGACCAATCATTTGTGGTGCGCTCATGGTGACATCCACCTCCTTTCAGCCTCACTGACCCTCTGCTCCCCTGACGCCTGCCTCCCAACACCCGAGGCCTCGTCCTTCCCCGTGTGTCCACCAGGTGTCCTCAGGGCTTCCTGTCCACTTCCTGTCAGCTGACCCCGCCCTCCCTGCACACCTGCCCCTTGTTCCCTCAATTAGCCCCACAGAGCAGCAGCTGCTGTCAGAGTTCTCTGTTTGTTCCTGCTCCCTTTTCCTGCCTCGGTTCAGACTGCCTGCATGATGCTGAGCTGTAAGCCTGTTTACTGACCATTTTTCAAGAGAACTGCCTTGAATTCAGCCTCTGACAACCCCCCGACAGAATTTTAAACAGTTAGCGAGCTTCATTGTAATTTTCACCCCCCAACAATTAAGTGCTGATCTGCTGTTTGTGATATGAGCTTTAAAGGATGCATGTGGAAGATTTTTTTTTTGTTTAACTGCATGACCTTAAAGTAATGCCATTTTGTAATTCAGCTTTGAATAGCGCAAATCACAGCCCAACTCTACTTATAACAGGGTCGACATGTTTGATATCTAACTGGGAGTTTCATGAAGGGTTTTTTTTTCTCGTGTTTTTATTGGACAGACTGGAGTTTTGGCACCAAGTTAACCAAAGTTAGCTACTAGCTGCTTGTTTAAAACTTAAAATGTCTCAAAACCATTATTAAAAAAACAAAACTGTTTATACCACTGATCAACAAAAGCAAAGCAACAGCTAATTTAACGTTATGCTAGGGGGCGGGCAGTGTAGTCAAAAGATCACATGACGGCCTTTTGGGGTACCATCATGATCTAAAAACTGAATTGCAATTGAACTGATTTGATTCATCACATGGTAAATTGTGCGTATTGTTTCCGGCATACAAAGCCTGCACACTTGCTAAAACTAACTACTAACCAGCCAACTTACAAAAGCCTGCATTCTGTTTTTTTTGCTCTAATTTTCCTCTAAATGTTTCACCGCTGATCCGTAACTCCGCCGCTTTAATGCTTGTTGAGTTTTCACCCCATAAGACTGGCTGGATAATTGGTATCAACCCGCCGCTGAGCTCCTATCTGAGACCACACAGTCACCGAATGATGCTCAACTTCTTTACTCGGGAGAGAGACATTAACATGATTACGGAGAGTTATTTGCTGCACACTGCGGCGGCGGTGACTGAAATTAAGGAAGGGAACATCGGAATGGCCTCCTGTTAAGCTGCAACGTTTGTGGATAAACATAATAACTCCGAGAACATACTGCCAGTAAATTGCTACCTTCAAACGTTGAAGACCGAAATAGCTGTTGCAATAATGAGAGCTTTGGCAGGAACGAATGCACCGTACTGTAAATCAAGCTTAATTGGTGATCAAATTTATTAATGTGCAAAGTGAAGCAATTTAAAAAGAAACCAGGAATATAGCTCCAATACGGCGGAGAACGTTTGCATCGTCTGTGGCTTCTGCTAAATCGGTTAACGCGGCACACAGAGCTCACATGGTTAACTTCAACTAGCATAAACAGCAGCTATCTACATTCACAGTCTGCACAGACTCTGATAAGAAGAATTCATTACAGCCCCCTTTTTTTCCTTCTTCTCAGAATGTTGTTCAGCTCACTGCTTCGTCGGGCACGCTGTCTTCTGTTTACAAAATAACTTACACCTCCAAAAAAAAATGCAAACATAGTGTGTCCTAATTGCATCACAACCAATCAGGCTTCGCTCGGGCGCAGGAGGAAAGTTTGGACATCGCTGCTGTATATGTAAATGACGCTGCGTGGATTCCTCTGAACTGCAGATCATACGCCAAACCGGGATTGATTTGTCTGAGAGTCTGAATTGATTTTTTCTCAAGTGTAAATATTACAGTAGCTCAAAAATAAAAATAATACAAGAGTCCATTTTTTTACTTTAATCCACGAGTAAGGACACGACTGAGTCTGTGGAGAGAAGTGAATGAGTAAGCAAAGGGGGTGAATTCGAGCACATCTAATGACTTAATTTAGGTAACCTTGGAGGTATAGGGAGGCGGGTAATTTGTAATGATTAGGCAACCTCCCTAACAGTGCCGGCCGTGGCTATATCCTGGAAAACATCCTGGACGGTGTGACTTTTAGCAGCAGTTTCCTAAATCGATCTCCCAAACATAGCTGCCGAATTCCATCACATGTACGCCATTTTATTACCAGAAAACATAATCAGATCGCGGCTGCGTTTCCTTCAGGAAGCGTGTATTTCCGTTGCAAATATAACCGCCAGCAACCTGTGCTTTATTTATTTTTGTTTGAGATAAACATTAATTTGTCACATCACGGCTCCCGTTTGGCTTTAAGTGCCACTTTGCAAGCAAACACTCCTGGCGACGCCCTCGCTTTCTTTACAATGCTCCAAGAACCCAGCTTTTATTTTTGAGAAATAAAAAAAAAATCTCCCTTCATTGAAAGGAACATTTTGGAGCTGTCTGGTACGCGCATCACCTCATTACAATTTTTTTTTTCTTTTATCATTATCTTCATTTTCTTCGCCGCTGCACTTAGATGGGAACTTCACGGTCAAAGAGAATTCTATACGCTGCCAAGGAACATGTAAAGAGAAAGAAAAAGAAGACATATTTCACTTATTAAATGCCTTCTTTCCCCCTATTTCTTTTCCTCTCTTCCTCCCTCCAGGTCAGCCTATTACATCCAAGCTTGATGACGGTTGGTGGGCGTATAAGGACGTTGTCCAGGGAAGCTTTGTTCCAGGTAATAGATCATCAGTCTCCTCACACACACCAACAGATGTTCAAATATGTGAAAATGGTTACGAGACCAACCGATTACGGAGGAAGATTCTTTCTTTTAATCCTATTAATTCACAAAGCCCGGGTCTGTTAGAATGAGTGTTTCTCTGCTTAAATAAATCCTCATTGAGTCGAAGTCGCAGCACTGCAAACTGCGCTGTGTACCTCGTTGCATCGGCCCGCGGATCTTCATTTTCAGACCAAATCAAAAGCGGCACCGTATTAAATATGCCGAATTAGCAGTCGCTTATTTGCAAAGTAGCCACGGAGGTACAGATAAGTCTCGCCGGATTACTGTGATGCTGGCGAAAAGTTGAAAAAACCTGACGATTCTCATGCAAATCCAGGAGTTTAAAAAGGAGCGTGTCTCTTCTGCGCCTCCGAAGCCGGTCGACGGATATCAATTTGATGGACATCAGGAGCTAACAATATCCCGAGCCCTCGTAAATGAAAATATATGTGCCTCGCGTCTGTGTGATAGATTAGGCCGACTCTCGGAAGGAGTGCATTTTGTTGGAGCAAATTGCGACAGTCGGGTTAAAGCAGTTTGAGTGCCTCCGAGTGCTGTGCCTCGCAGCCACTGATCATGTTGATAAGTAGTCAGCGGGACATGGTAGGTTGATTCTAATTGGTAGACGGAGCCGGAGAGGGAAGAAATAATAAGTGGAATAATACGCCGACACTTGCCAACATTATAACGGCGTATGTACACATAAAAACGGTGTTATTTCTCTCTGCAAAGACAATTGACTCAGATCTTTTTTTTCCCCCCCAAATATAAAAGCTCTTAGTAATAATGCCTCTCGTCTGAGCTTTCTGAGGGTGACACATAACACATTAACCACAGACTGTATTTAAAAGATAGATGTGGTGTCTGGGTGTGAAAAGAGTAAGTAAGGAAGTACCTTGTAATGGCCAGCAGGGGGCGACTCTTCTGGTTGCAAAAATTAGCTGGCTTGCATAGAAGTCTATGAGAAAACGAGACATGATTTGTTTCCTCGATAAACATTTCCAGATGGTCTCGATTGCTAACATTTCAAGACGTTTTGGATACAGCGTGATGTAAGGGTGATGCTTTACAGCCTTGTGATCAAAAGGTGTGAATCAAAGATTGTATAAAGATGGACGTAGCTACCGTGACGTCACCCGTTGGTTTCTTCACTGAGAAAATGAAGCCAGGGTTTTGCTACTTCCTGGTTGACATCTTGGATTTTTGTGAGGGGGGTGGAGCCATAGGAGCAGCGATTGGTCAGACGGATTGAGAGGTGGGCCCTCTCTGCCCGCCCACATTTACCGCCTTCTGCTCGCTTCATCTCCATCGTCGCTGCCGACTGTCAATCAAGCCAGCCACGCCCCTTGCCCCGCAAAATGTTGACGATTTTTTGAAAATTCAGTATTGATTTATTTTCAGATTGGCCACCTGATCTCTGGATTTGGCCATGAAAACTAATAAGAAAAAAATCCTGAGCTGTAGGATTGCGGTATTTCGTGATCAGGGCGTTTTGGAGCCAGCAGCTAGCGGACGTAGTGATGTTGCAGGTTTTTGACACTTCCGGGTTGGCCTCATTTTTCAGGGCCGGTTGCTACGTCCATCTTTTCTATGGTGTGGGCGCATGTTTAGGACAGTCAGTCCCTTGCGAGCAACGTCGGGTTTCAAACGCGACACCAACAGCTGCTTGTATTTTCACGGTACCTTCGCCTCACGCGTCTCCCTCCGCTGTCCTGTCACAATAACACAATCAGGCATTTTTAATAGCGTCGAAGCTGCTCGCAACTATTGGAGAGAAATAATTTTGTCATCGGACCGGGGCTTTTTTTTTTTTTTTTTGCAGGCTGCTTTATTAAATGAGTTTGGAGATGATGTAGATGGGGGACACATCCATTCACCTTTACTCTCCTACTGTCACATGCAATTAATTAAATTCCGCCCAGGTAATGGAGTTGCAGAGACACGGCGACTGATCTCTCCCTCTCCCCGGCTCTGCCTGTGCGGCGCGGAGCCAAGATAATTTCATAATTACTTTGAAATCAGCTGAGTTTAATTTGGAGTTGGACTTTCATGCCAGTGCAAGAGTCACACCTTTTAAACGCTGCGCTTCCTGTTTTAGAATGAGACTGAAATTTTTCCAAATGAAAAAAAAAAAAAAGCAAAGTGTGTGTGTGTGTTTGGCGCCAAGGGCCTTCTGGGAAATTTGAGTCTGTCAGTAGGCTCATCACATCAGTGAGCGTAGCCTGACTTTGACTACTACTTTTTACCCTCTCGCGCTGCTGCAGCCTTCTCCTTTGCTTCGTATTAGTGCTGTGCCAGCATGGGAGCAGCGTCTGCCTAAAGCCGGGGGAATGAAGTTGGGAATACAAGTCAGCAAACAAGAAAAAAAAAAAAGTACAACGGTATTCCAATCTCGGGTCACTGATGAGTGTCATCCTGAGCTCATATTTACTGTAATCACCTTTCGCAGCCGCATGAGACGCGCTCGGCTGAGATGAGAGGAACAAAACTGTAGGTGTTTGTCAAAAGGAAAACAGGGAGAGATGGGCGTCTGCCAGCAAGCCTCCATGCAGAAACACACAAATGGCTATTCCCTCTTGAGCGAGATTACTGTGAGATGGCCCACCCGAGTTTTTTTTGTTGTTGCGGGAAGCACACATGATGTAACTTCCACGCCGCTTTGTCGTAAACGCCGAGGACGATGGAGGAGAACAGAGAGGAAAGGACCCTGGCAGCGCTACTGTGGTTTCGCCCATGAGCTATTACTTTGGCACCGGCGAATGTAAAAACTAAATATAACACAAGATACAGTATGCGCCACAGATGCCACGGAACAATGGAGAGTGTTTGGCAGGCGTAGAAGGCAACAAGCGTCTCTGGTGCTCGGCTCCGTTTCACCGGTTCGTCCACCGGCATCTACTGAGAAAGGAACACCTAACCTGTCGTATTTTAGGCCCCCTTTTTGTTTTTTTTAGCTGCATCTGCATGATACTTGAACTAGTGGGCAAAACAAACTTAAGATTTTATAATCGGCTGCAGCGTGGTATCCAACGAATCAAACAACCAAATGAGTGTTTCCTAGTCAGGGCAGTTACATGCAGAAGTTTACTCTTCAGCAAATTAAATGCACTGTTTTTTTAAAGTAAGCGATCAGTACACTGTTGAAAAACGTGTTTCTGTATAACTTGTCAGTGTAGAAATGTAAAATGAATACAATTCATTCTTCAAACAGCACAAGATGTTGTCCTGATAAAATATTCATGGTGCGTAAACCCCCGTCTTAGCTCGGGTTGATTTAGATTTGTTGATTTGTTGACACGCCGAGGCTGTCGTTTAAACGTGTGTGTTTTAGCATAATTTAAACATGTTGTATAAACTAAGTTCTATAAATTATTTAGTTTTACATTTGAAGAGCTCAAGAACAGATAACTCCATTTTTTTCTTTTTATAGATTTCAGAAAACTTATTTTTTTGCTGTTTGCTTGAGACAATATCAATCAAACTGGAGTTGACTCTGTAGAAATGACAAAAATAGAGATAAGTTAGATTGATATTGTCTCAGGTAGACGATGGAAACGTGGGTTTACTGAAGGTTTGTGCAGATGGAGTTATCTGTTGTTGCAAATGAACTTCATTTGTTAATTTACCAATGTTTTTTTTTTTTCAACCCCCATGTCAATGAATGTGGCCAGTTGTGTAAAGTTTGTCTTGATTTTACAGTCAGTGGAGAAGCTGTAGAAATATAGTTTACCATTAAACTTGATGAATTGAGCTGAACCCTGTTGGAGACACTTGGTACCAGAGGCAGCACAAAGACTGTCTCTCAGACTGTTAAGTTAACTCCATGAACTCATCTCTGTGTATCTGAATGACACATCTAGAAGTCCTTTGCAATACATATCATCTCTTCCTGTCTTCAAATGGCTTAAATGTAGCTCCACACTAGATCAACCCTATTCAGGACTTCCATGTTGCCAGAGGTTGAAGGTCTTTTGGGGTCCATTGGTGCAAAACATCTGTTGGTTTTCATTGTAGACTTTTCACTATTTTAAATACATTTTCTGATAAGTTGAAGTATTTTTGGTGCCAAATGCATGACAAATGTCCCTTTTTTATTTTTATTTTTTAAACTGCTCTTTATCGAAGTTCGTATTTTTGTACAGGTCCAAAACACCACAAAGCTCAACCTTATTTTCCCACATTTTTTAATTTTTTTCAACAATTGAACAAGCATGAACATACAGCAAGTATCAAAAAGTAAACAAGCAAACAGATATTACATAAAAATAAAGATAAACAATCGAGATATTCACCCCTCATCACCACCAGGGTGTCACTGTTTCTTAAATCGACTGGAACAATGTTAAATGTCCCTTATTTTATATTAAAAACAAATAAAAATCTTCAAAAATAATAATAAAAAAACAATGCCTGTCACGTAAACCAAATGGCCTGGAGTCCAAAAGTCCTGAATAGGGTGGATGAAGTCCCCACATCTCCCCGTTCACTACAGCTCGAGCACACCAGCTCCCCACCAGCTCTGCTCAAACACCGTAAAACCACTCTACGCTACGCAATGGCAATGTCGAAGTAATTTAGACAAACCGATTCTAAAGAATAATAACGATACAGAACCCTGCAAGTTCCGTAGGTACGAAAACCCAAACGTCTGAGTGTGTGTTTCTAAATCTGTCATTTGAACGCCGTGGTTTCAAAGTCAGAATGCTCTGCCAAAGCGCCGCCTGTTCGTCTGCTTACGACAAGTGTTCTAGCTCATAAAAAATACAACATACGAACATGGTAACAAGGTAAAAGACATGATTTCTTATTGTCGGCTTTTGTTTTTTAAATGAAGTGAACGCTGTCGTGTTTTTATTCTACAAAGAACCCATCGCGGCCTGATTCAACATGCATTAAAGACGCTATGCTTCCATCATGTATATTTTATTCCCACTAAAACTGCCAACATGCTA